AATGGCTGAAATTGAACATGGGCTTTTCTCAAATGGTCTAAAATATTTTGGGCCTATCCCCATTAAAAAAATTAATGGGGGGTTATGTCAAAGAGCCCCTCTTTTTTAAAGGTGTTGGTATATGCAGCGGGCCTTTTATTGAATGCAGCGGAAACTTTTTCATTTAATTTTTTTTTTGAATTTCTCTTTCCTACTCCCAAAATCTCTCTAAAAATTTGAATTTCGTCAATTTTTTCGACTTTGAATCCATAGCAAACGAGGCTCGATTCCGGTAAATTTTCAATATCCCACTGCTTTTAATTAGTTTTATTTACAATTTAGGTAAAAACACATGTTTATGATTAAATCTAGCCAAATTTTAAAAAAATAAAAAAAATTGAAGCTCCCGTTTTCTGCTATTTTATGTTAAAACCACTATATTATGTTAATAATGTAGTATTAATTAGTATAACTTAGGTACTAATATAATATAATCTAGTGTAATATAATTTTAATTTAATATAATATATTTTAATATATTATGTTAAACATATAGTATTAATTAGTATAACTTAGGTATTAATATTATATAATCCAGTGTAATGTAATTTTAATTTAATATAATATATCGTAATATATTATGTTAATAATATAGCAGTATAACTTAGGTACTAATATAATATAATCTAGTGTAATATAATCTTAATTTAATATAATATATTGTAATAATATAATATATTTTAATATATTATAGTAATAATGTAGTATCAATTAGGATAACTTAGGTACTAATATAATATAATCTAATATAATCTCGTTTATTTACAGTGTTGGATTTATGAGTACTTCTGCCCTTTCCGAGCACCTATTAATCTGGATTATAGGGAGACGCAACCTCGTTTCCTGAAATGGAAACCACGCAAGGGTATTTTCGAGCTTGTTCTCGATCCGAAGGATGCTTGATGATATGCAGGCCGATCATGTATGCATTTTAATTGTTGAATTTATTTATTTATTGTTCGGTTGATGTATTTAGTTTATTATAACGTAAATCTAATTGTTATTGCGTAAATCTAATTTACCAGATTGACTGGATGCCTTACGGTATGCACGTGCATAGACGCGTTCCACGTACACTGTATTACGGATGTATACAGTTTATGGAGATTATCGAGCCATATTTGCCGGATCGCGTCTTACGGCAGTTCGGCTTTAGACAGACCACTTAGAGATTTCTACTCGATTATTGAGAACCACTTAGAGATTTCTAGGATGAGGGAGTTCAGTGAACTCATCAACTTACGAGCACCCACTTATGCATGCCAATATCACAATACCGTTTACTGATGAGACGCAATACATATACACTAAGTTCTAGTCTCTTAATGTGAAAGGCCGATATCCTCATTGGTGGCGTAACCCTTCGACTAGGAACACGGTTTAACAGTTATAAATTTAAGTAAATATCTCACGATCCTAACAGATCAATTACATGTAATTGTAATAACTGTAAGGGCTATATCTATGTTTGAACAAGGGACAAATATATAGAATGCCAAGGTGTTTTATCATTAATACGAAAAACATTATTTATTACAAGAATAAATTGAAAGACCACAGCCACAAGTTGGTTTGTTGTACTCTAACACACTATTACCACTTATTTGCGATACGTGCACTAGTGATTGTGAGTTCAGTTAGTGATGAGTACTTATTTCTAATGGTTGGGTGTGTTCGCAGATTTCATGAAATAAAAATCATTTTTAAGCAACTTATTTGAAACAAAATTGCTTCAATGTTTTTTTCTTATATATATTTTAAGCAACTTATGTATCATATATAGGCGTTGTTTGCAAAAGTTTGTTAAAAAAAATCAGAAGTTGGTGATCATGAGTTAAAGTTATTGATAAGTACTTATTTCTAATAGTTGTGTGTGTTTGCAGATTTCATGAAAAATAATTTTTAATGAACTTATTTGAAATGAAATTGATCCAGGGGTATTTCTTATATTTTTTAGCTTAAAGTAGCTTCTTTTATTTTTATTTTTAAATTTAAGATTACAATAAACATTTCAAAAGTGATTATGAGCAAAAAAAAGCCGGCGAGCACTTTTCAAAAGCTACTGCATGCAAACACCTAACTCGGTCTTCTGCGCGTCAAGTTTACGACTTTATCTGGTTCAATCTCGCCATGTGTTATGTTTTTGTTTTTGTAGTTCCTTATTTGTAGTTTCATTAAAACTTTGTATAACTTTTTTTTTAATCTATGTTTTAAGATTGGGTTATCTTGCACGGATAAATCACTCCGAAAGGATCTTAATCGGATTGCTCAAACTACAGATACGTCCACCTCAAAGGGTTTTCACTCCGTATTGACTGGCAATAACATTTTTTTCTTTTTCCGTATCTTGCAGCTTAGCTAACACATTAATGTCGACTCATTTCTCTCGATTAAATTTTCTAGGCCTAATCACTTTTATTACCAATTTTGTCATTTATTATTAGTGAGTATTTTATATGGAGAGAAAAAATCGTTCAATAGTATTCTTCTTTTCTTAGTATGTGTAATAAGAGATTTATTTGCAGGAGGAGTTGTAATAAGAGATTTATTTGTGTGCTTATAACAAAAACTTTTCAATATTAGGGTTTACTTGAATATGCATGGAAGAATGTTTTGAAATTATTTATATCCTGAAATGAAAATATGAGGAATTCTATGAGTATGCACTTGGCACCTAGTTCATTTGGATTGATGGGGTTGATTATAATTTATAAGATTGGTTTAATTGGTTATAATTTGAATTAAATTATTTGTTATAATTGACAATATGTATATGGGTACATTTGAGAAGAATGATTACACAACCCTTGTATTGGGAAATTGAAATTGAACTAACATGGTGTTTGATTAAGTTTATAAGATGTTTAAGAGCTTATAAGCTCTTTCAAAGTTTCTACACGTGTAGATATTTAGCCCAATACCCATCATCATCACCAACAACATTTGGAGGACCGCCATTAATACGGCGTTTTCTACCTGAGCTAGATTGAATATATCTGAATTTGCGTCCCTATATTAATTCCTTCATTTATCGAGAAGAACCATTGAGGTGTTGGCCGCCATGGCGCAAACTCAATTTGATAATTCGAAATCAAGAACTGAATTTTAATTGCAGGGAATATTTTTTTAGGAAAATTTTGTTCTTTTTGTCTTAAAAATTATACTTTTTTCTTTTTTTTTTGTTAGAGATGGCTAATAATCCTGAACATGGAAGAAAATATTCAAAAAAAAAATACTATTTTGAAAGATGTAATAATCCGAGAAAGGTTTTGTGTATATTTGTTGGGAAAGCAACAGGCATCCATAGAAAAATTATGTGTGTGGTAAGGCATGTGCAAGTCACGCGCATTGAAAAAAATAAAGACGAAAAAGCTAATGTGCTAAGGCATGTGCAAGTCACGCGCGTTGGAAATTGTGAAAATTTGCCAGAATATTCTCTTTAGGTGGTTAAGTGAGTTAAAATAACGGGTTTGAATGTGCATATGCATATTCTTTTGTTAAGGTGGCAAATGGCAAAACCAGGCAAAGTACATGTGATGAAATGCTATTACCTCTAATTTATAGAGGTATTAGCATAGACCCCCTGTGTTATCTCTAATTGTCAAAAAGTCCCTCTGTTATAAAAAATAACAAAAACCCCCCTATGTCGTGTTTTGCGACGCACACCGGTCCTTACAACAAAATTGTCTGTTGACTTTTGTGAAAAGACGAAACTACCCTAGTAAATTTTAATTAATTCAGTTTTAAATAATAAAGGGAAAAAGGGCATAGGGGTGTCGGAGAAGACACCGAAAAACACGAAATTTAGTATTCGTTGTGGATTTTTTTTTCTGAAAAAATCTCGAATTATGTATGTTTTTTTCTGAAAATATCGATCGGGGCAGATGTTTCCTGGGATTTTCAAGGGGTTTGAGATCTGCTTTGTTGTGGTGAATTTGCACAAGTTGTTGCAGGGTTTTTTGCAGTAGAAAAACGAGCTTGAAACTAATTCTTTTTCCACTCTTAGATTTTTTTGGATCTTAATCAGAATAGAGCTTGAGGCTCAAAACTGGGTGTTTTTTGTTTTTCGAGAGAGCTTGAGGCTTCGAAATTAAGAGAGAATGCTTTACAAACCGATCATCTAAATCCTCTTTCTTCGCAGTCGAAGAGTCTCTAGAGTTTTGTCTTTCGTCATGGAGGAGCCGCGACCGAAACTAAAGGGCCGATGACCCGTTGCCTGAATGAAAAAATTTTGCAAAACAGTCCCTGACATAAGGGAGAAGAGGGCTTTTCTGAAATTGAAGGGGACTAAATTGAGAATATTGAAAATTTTCTTTTTGGGGCTTGTTTTCCAAATATCTAAATTAAATGATATTTGAGTCTTTTCAGGTTAAAAAACCAACCCCTAGTCGCATATTTCGCGAGTGTATGCCACCATCAACTCAAAAGGGCCTTATTGCCTTTGACTAACTTTATTAGGGCGGTTCTTGCTAATTTTTTTAATACAGAGACCTTGGTGGCAATTAAAGATATCACATGGGTGGTCAATGCTAAAAGCTCCTAATTTATACAATAAAACTTAAAACTTTGTTAATGACAACAAAAAATTTTGTAAATTAACAAGAACTGAAAGGGCTCAATAAATTATTACATCAAAAAAAAGTAAAGAAAATATCCCCTATTTTCAAAAAGAGAATCGACTTGTTATGATGTGAACAACATGAATGACATGTAAATAAAAACCAAAACATTAAAACATAACGAATATGCGTGGATCAAAAGAATCTTCGACACTGAACTCGAGACGAAACATAGAGACTATATATCTATCGAGCGCTTTCGTTTCCACTTCCTCTTCGGTTTCGGTTTCTCAATAGGGAAGTACATACTCTCCATATATGGAACCGTAACTACTCCACAGCGAAAAAGTACTTTTTAATCTTCACTTTTTTCAAACCTCTTTTCACAAGGGTCGTAAATTATTACATTGTAATCTTCACTTTCTTCAACCTCTTTTCACAAGGGTTGTTGTAAATTATTAATCTATCCTTATTTTTGTGGAACACAATCTTATTTCCCACGGAACATAGTTTCAACGAAAACCAAAATGGCATCTTATATTCAACCCTTATTAACTCCTTCGAAGAATTATTGTCTACGCCATTTTCCTTCGTACAAATCTGAACCTTACAGAAATTGCAATACATGCACAAAGAACCCCTCACATTAACCAAGTAAATAATTTTGCATTTGTCTACATTTTCCGGCAAACGCAAAAACTTGAACTTGTCATCTCTCGGATCATAATACACTATTTTTGTAACAGTCAGGCGACTCCAAACCCAATAGCTAACCCCGTCAACACAGACTCCTTTCGGTGAAGTGTTCCTTGGATTGAAACCTAAACCAGTGTATTCAATTTCGTATTCTTTTTTCATCAGAATCCAGGATTTCTTCTTACAAGAATAAACTGAGTAGTGGTACCAATCCGCAACAACAACCTTAAATTCGTCAGTGTTTGGATCACGGCAAAGCCCGAAAGCCGCCTTACTGCAGCCCTTCCGATGCCAAAGCTTTTCCGCTGTTCGAGTGGATGGATTCCACAACACAAGTCTCTGGTACGAATGGTTGGTTAAGAGTAGGATGCCATCACAAAAGCATAATACCAACCCACACCCAAAGGGGGCTTCTATTACTACTGGTAGGGTTTGAAATTTTTCACCGTCGAATTTAACCACGGAAAATCGGATAGAAGAAGTACTCGACATCGCACGATGAAGGAAAAGGTTATGCGAGGTTGAATGCTTAGATTTTTGGATATGATTCTGGATGAATACAGGATCTGTGATTATAGTATTCCATGACTTGGAAACTGATTTGAATCGGTAAAGAGATTTTACTGATAAGTTTGATAGAATAATTTCTACGATTTCCGGTGGAAAATTTGATTTTTTATCAGCCATGGTTTGGAGTTTGTAGGCAGCGGCATTGATTTGCAGCATGTGTGTGTGCATTTATATATATATACAGTTCCGTGAGTTACGGATTCTGCAACAGAGTTGTATGGTATTTTGCGTCTCTTAGAAGATTAATTTTCCTTATCTTTGAAAATATCGTTCCAAAAAGAAAATATGAATATACAAGCCGTATAGTACAACCAATTCTAATGTATGCTTAACTGGGCCAACTCAATAGACCTACAATTTCTTTACCTACTGGGTCACAAGTCCAATATTCAAAACCACTACTATCGAGGCCCAATCACCTTCAAATAAGGTTTTGGCCCGTTAATCTCAACTAATTAAACTTCAGCCCAATCAATGAGATATATATAAATGTTTGAACTTATTCCTTAAGTTATGTCCTATTATCTGAGTAATACTATAACACGTATTCTCTGGACTATTTCCACTATCCGCACGTCTGACTTGAGCGTCGGAGGGGTTTCCGCCAGATCAACCATCGGCTTAGTTTACATGTTCTATGATCACAGGTATCTCAAGGTCATCAAGCTCGTGAGCTAGTGATCCCATCTGCTCTTCCAGCTCAGCATACTTCCACTTTCTAAGGTGATCTATTTCTAGCATCATCAAATTCCAAATTCTTAAACTTTGTACATGTTTTCCTTTTGGAAAATTTTTAATTTTGGTCCTATATGCTGGTCTCTTTATAGATTTAGTCCTGCAAGTTGACATATTTCAATTTTACATGCAAGAATTGTGAAAAATTAGTATTTTTAGTCCTATTTCACTCGAACTTGAATTTTAGTCGTCATTTCTCGAAAACCAGGTAACACATCGCTGCAAAGAAAGTACTTGTTTCACAAGAATCAATTTGGACGAGGACGACAGGGAATTGAACTAGCAAATGAGAAGTTCAAAGAGCAGCCGCAAAGATCGGGTGATGGACCTTTCTGCATTATTTGCCACAAAACGAATCATAACTCAAGAGATTGTCGATTCAAGTGCGAGAGATGTAAAATCCCCAATCATTCACAAAGGGATTGTTGGTTTCAAAAGAAGAACTCTACATAAGCAAATTTTATCGAAGAAGGGAGTGATGAAAAACTCTTTTATACGTGCTTGAATGCCGAACATGAGTCGTTAGAGGTTTGGTATCTCGATAGTGGTTGTAGCAACCACATGACGGGGAATCGAAACCATTTTGAGCAGCTTGACGCTAACTTCGCCTCTCAAGTTTCACTTGGCGATGGAAAAATGAGAAGTGTTCAAGGAAAGGGAACCATTTATGTCTACAACAAGGGAGGTACGAAAAAGCTTATTCGTGATATTCTTTACGTACCTAATTTAACGCATAGCCTTCTAAGCATTGGTCAGCTAATGCGAAATGGATATTCCATTTCCTTTGATGATGACAAGGGAGTAATATTCGACAAGAAAAATAATATGATTGTGGCCGAAGTCTATATGACTGAAAATAAAGTCTTTCCTCTCATAATGCCATCTAATCCTGAATTTGCGTTGAAAACCGAACAAGTTCGTGATTCTTATCTTTGGCATTTGAGATACGGACATTTGAATATGAAAGGGCTGCATATTTTGAAGCAAAAGAAAATGGTTATCGGGCTCCCGGATATCAAAGGAGAAGAGAAAGTATGTGAAGGCTGCGTATTTGGAAAAATACACCGGTTACCTTTTCCGAAAACCTCTTGGCGTGCTAAAGCTCCTCTCAAATTGGTTCACTCGGATATTTGTGGTCTTGTTCCCACCCCAACTTTCAACCAAAAAAGGTATTTCATTCTTTCTATTGATGATTTTAGTAGAATGATGTGGGTGTATTTTTTGCAAGAAAAATCGGAAGCTTTTTCGGTTTTTCTCCACTTCAAAGCAATGGCAGAGAGGCAAAGTGGACATCAAATGAAGACTCTCCGGACTGATCGTGGGGGAGAATTTATTTATTCTCCGTTTATGAACCATTGCAAAGAAAATGGCATTACAAGGCAGCTCATTGTAAGTCGTAGCCCGCAGCAAAATGGAGTGGCCGAACGGAAAAATCGTACGGTTGTCGAGATGACGAGGAGCATGTTAACATTCGAAGGCCTACCAAATAATTTATGGGCAGAGGCTGTCAACACTGCCGTTTATATCTTGAACAAGTCTCCGACAAAAGCCGTTCGAAACCGCACTCCGTTTGAAGCCTGGAACAAAAGAAAACCAGTTGTTGATAATTTGAGAATTTTTGGCAGCATCGCCTATGCCCATATACCAGCTGTACATCGAGAAAAGTTCGACAAGAAGGGAAGGAAGTATCTGTTTATTGGCTATAGCGATGAGTCGAAGGGATACAGACTTCTAAATCCCGATTCGAATCAACTTGTGGTTTCGAGAGATGTTATCTTTGACGAAAGTGCAACCTGGGAGTGGAATGTTGAATCAAATCAACAACGAGCTGAAAATTCTGATTTTGTGGAACCATTATCAACTCGAGGTGCTGATTCTTCTCTGCAAAATTCACAAGAAAATGCAACTCCAGATTCACCAAGCACTCCTCAAAGGGAATCAGGCCTTAGTCAACTAATCGAGGAAGGCCCAGACTCTGAAAATCAGGTGAGAAAAGTTCGATTGTTAAAGGATATTTATGATTCTTGTGACATTGGTTTTTTCAGTTGCGAGCCACAAAGCTTTGAAGAGGCAGCAAGGGAAAATGTTTGGATTAAAGCAATGGGTGAAGAAATGAGTGTTATTGAAAAGAATAAAACGTGGGAGCTCGTAGATTTGCCGAGCAACAAAGAAGTCATTGGTTTGAAATGGATCTTCAAGACCAAGTACAATGAAGATGGCTCCGTACAAAAGCATAAGGCATGGTTGGTGGCCAAAGGGTACCCTCAACAGCCCGGTCTCGATTTCAATGAGACTTTCGCTCCGGTGGCTCGAATGGAGACAATAAGGACTGCTCTTGCAAATGCAGCACACTTTGAATTACAAGTGTACCAGCTTGACGTCAAATCGGCCTTCTTGAATGGAGAATTGCTAGAATAGGTTTACGTCGAACAACCACAAGTATTCGCCGTAAAAGGGAAGGAAAACAAAGTTTATCGGCTTCGAAAAGCATTATATGGGCTGAAGCAGGCTCCACGAGCGTGGAATAGCAAAATCGACGGATACTTTTGTCAAGCCGGGTTTCAAAAGAGCCCAAATGAACCTTCGCTTTATGTAAAAAAAAGAAGAAAAACATGATGAGCGAATTTGAGATGACTTTGGGAATGATGAAGTATTTTTTGGGAATCTAAGTTAAGCAAAGCAAGGGACAAATTTTCTTTCGCAAGAAAAATATGTTGAAGATTTGTTGAAAAAGTTTCATATGGCAAAATGCAAACCAGTAGCTACGCCTATGGTTATAAATGAAAAGCTACAGCAACTTGATGGTTCGGAAAAGGTGGATGCTACTCTTTTCAGAAGTTTAGTTGGATCACTCATTTATCTGACACAAACGAGGCCTAATATTGCTTTTCCGGTAAGTGTTATGTCTAGATTCATGAACGATCCAAGTTCAAATCATTATGCAGCAGCGAAACGGATACTTCGGTATCTCCAAGGAACTAAGCAGCAAGGTATCTTGTTTAAGACGGAGAAAGAGTGCAATTTAATTGGCTACACGGATAGCGATTGGGCGGGCGCTCTAGATGATCGCAAAAGCACAACAGGGTATATCTTTTGCCTTGGCTCAAACGTGATTTCATGGAGCTCAAGAAAGCAAAAACAGTTGCTCTTTCATCATCCGAAGCGGAATACATTTCAGCAGTTGATGCGGCTTGTGAGGCGGTTTGGCTAAGAAGACTTCTTGCCGATGTACAACTTAAGCAAAAGGAGGCCCCGGTGATCTTTTGCGACAATAAATCTGCTATATCAATGACCAAAAATCAAGTTTTTCATGCTCGTTCCAAGCATATTGAACTACGACACCATTATATAAGAGACTTGGTTAGCAACGAAGAAGTACGTATGGAGTTCATTGGCACAAGTGACCAACCATCTGATATCTTAACAAAAGCTGTGAGTTTGGAGAAATTGGAGAAGCACAAGGCTCTGTTGAAGATTACAAATTAAGCAAGGGTGTTAAAAGTTAATTTGTAATCTCAGCTATTAATATTTTAGAATTATCTAGAATAGCACGTTTCATCTTCCATCATTTTACTCAAAAAAAAAAAAAAAAATCTTCCATCATTAATGTGGAGAATTCTCTGGAGACTTTTCTTCTTTTTAAATACTCCATGTACTAGTATTTGGAATATCAAGAAAAACAAGTTAAAGAGCAGCAGCTCAATTGTCCCCTAAAAAATCAATTCTTGTTTGTTCATCTTCTTTGTCTTCTTTACCAACAATATTCTTCCATATCAAAGGGCAAATTCATTTAACGATCTTCCGTTGTGCCAACAGAGAGAACTGATCTTTGGGATCACATTCAAAATACCAGTAGTGGAGATCTTCCTTGGATTATTTGTACTCTATATGCTCAATTATCTAATATAGGATTTGAAGGAAACAAATTCACTTGGAGTAACAATCAACGGGAAGAAGAAGGATCTCGGAAATATTGGATCGTTTTCTGATAAATGGGGAAGCTCAGCTGGATCTTCCTGATCTCAAAGTTACTCACTTAACTAGAACTGTATCAAATCATGCTCCTCTTTTGTTAAAATTTACAGGTAGGTTCAAGCCTAAATATATTTTATTTTTCAAAAAATGTGGATTGACCACCCTCAATTTATTAAAGAGGTGGAAGAAACTTGGCATCAACCAGTTTATGGCAACCCATCCTCTATCTTTGTAAAGAATCTGAGAAGGGTGAAATTCTCTTAAATCATGTAATTGAATACTTTTGATAATGTTTAGGCTAGGATCTAGAATATTATCTGATCAAATTGACACTTTAGAAGCCCAACATCAAACTGGATGGTCTGATGAGATTGATAATCAAGTTAAGAGCCACATAAAAGATCTAGAGCATGCTCTTAAATGGGAGGCTGAGATTCATATTAATAAAACCATGTCTAAATGGCCTTCAATATGGGGACACGAACACCAAATTCTTCCATGCCTTGATGAGAGACAAAAGGAAAATAAAAAAAGATAGAAATCCAGGATGATGATGGTAATTGAATTGAGGACACAAAGATTCTGGGTAATTTTGCAGTTCAACACTTCTCCAAATTATTCACAGCATCCTCATACCATATGGAAGAGTCTCTTTTCCAGGCTTACCCATTGGCTTTTCAAGAGGAAGACAATGCCATGCTAAGTCAAATACCTACATGTACAGAAGTATATCAAGAAGTTGAAAATTTATCTCCTGATAACTCTCCTAAAATTGATGGTTTTATTGGTCACTTTTACAAACATTGTTGGGATATCATTAGGGATGATTTTATGAAAGTAGTTACAAGCTTTATTTTAGGGGATCACCTCATCAGAGGTATATCTACTACTTCTTTGGTTTTGATCGCCAAAGGTGGAGCAACCTATATAGTTGGGAGAATATAGACCTATTAGCCTTGGGAACTTATCCAGAAAGGTTATATCCAAGATTATAGCTTCTAACTTGCCAAGATCTTACCTAAGCTTACTGATGAAGAATAAAGTGGTTTTGAACGTGATAGGTATATTCATGAAACAATGGTTGTGGCTCAGGAACTGGTGAATGATATTGATAGGAAGACTTTTGGAAGCAACTTGCTTAATACTAATACTAATACTAATACTAATACCAATACTAATACTAATACTAATACTAATACTAATACTAATACTAATACTGATATTGATTACGGATATGGATACTGATA